TGGTTTCATTTAAAAAGCCTGCTAGAATTGTGATTACGATTACATTATATCAATTGAGAAAAATGAGCAGATGCCTTTAAAGTATTGAGTCTTCTCATACAAATGGCTAACAAATATAATTTTAAAATACTCAACATAACTAACCAGGGAAATCCAGATCAAACCCATAATGAAGTATTATCTTACCCCAGTTAGGATGGCTATTATCAAAAAGACAAAAAAATCACAAATGCTGGTAAGGATGAGGAGAAAGGGAACTCTCTAGTATGGAGAACAATATGAAGGTTTCTCAAAAAACTACAAATGGAACTACCATATGATCCAGCAATCCCACTACTGGACATTTATCCAAAGGAAAGGAAATTAGTATATCAAAGAAACATCTGCACCCCCATGTTTATTGTAGCAATAAACACAAAAGCCAAAATATGGAGTCAACCTACATGTTTAACAACACATGAGTGGATACAGAAAATGTGATCTATATATACACAATGGAATACTATTCAGCCATAAAAGAGAGCAAAATCCTGTCATTCACAGCAACATGGATGAGCCTGGAAGAAATTATGTTAAGTGAAATAAACCAGAAACAGAAAGTTAAACACCATATGTTCTCACTCATGCATGGAAGCTATAAACAGTTGGTCTCATAGAAATAAAAAGTAGAACAGAGGCTCCTACAGACCAGGAAGGGTAAGGAGAAGGGAAGATAGGAAGAGATCTGTCAAAAGATGCAAATTATAGCTACATAGGAGGACTAAGTTCTGGTGTTCAATACCACAGTTTAAAAAAATAAAAAATATTGGGTATTCCAATTCATGAATATGGTATAGCTCTCCATTTATTTAAGCCTTTTTTTTATTTCTCCCAGCAGTGTTTTATAGTTTTTATTGTAGAGGTCTTGTACATCTTCAGTTAGATTTATTTCTAAGATATAGTTTTTTAAGCTATTATAATTGATATTATTTTTTACTTTCATTTTTTCTGTTACTAGTGTATAGAAATACATTGCCTTTTATAATTGACTTTGTGTCTGCAAATTTGCTAAATTTCCTTATTAGTTCTAGTAGTTTTTGACTAGATTCCATAGAGTTTTCTATGTGCACAATCATGTCATCTCCACATACACAGTTTTATAGCTTCCTTTCAAATAGTTTTGCCTTTTTTTTCCTTTGCCTTATTGAACCATGTGGGACTTCTAATAAAATGTTTAACAGACATTGTCAGAGCAGACATCCTTGCTTTGTTTCTGATCTTAGAGAAAAAGCATTCAGTGTCTCACCTTTAAGTATGATATTAGCTCTAGGTTTTTTGTAGATGTCCTTCATCAGGAGGAGGAAATTTCCTTTTATTCCTATTTTGCTGAGAATTTTTATCATGAATGGACACTGACTTTTATCAAATACTTTTTCTGCATTTATTGAGATGATCATACAATTATCTCTGGTAGTCTGATCACTGATTTCATCTCTTTCTTCTTTTCTAATGTACATTAATGCATTTAGAACAATACACTTCTCCCTAGAGATCTTGAGTGCTTCTCCCTAAGCACTGCTTTAGTTGCATCCCACAAACTTTTATGTTGGGTTGTTGTCTTGTTCCATACAGGGTGCTATAACAAAACACCATAGACTGGGTGGCTTACAAACCAGAGAAATTTTTTTTCTCACAGTTGTGAAGGCCGGCAAGTCCGAGATCAAGGTGCCCGCAGATTGAGCGTGTGGTGAGGACCTATTTCTTGGTTCATAGCCAGATGTCTTTTCACTGTAGCCTCACATGCTAGCAGGAACGAAGGGGCTCTCTAAGGCCTCCTTTATAAGGGCACAAATCCCATTCATGGGATGGGATTCATTCATTTATGAGGGCTCTACCTTCCTGACTTAATCACCTCCCCAAAACTACACTTCCAAATACCATCACATTGGGGAGGATTAGGTTTCGACATTTGAGTTTTGAGGACACACAAACAGCCAGTCTATGGCTGTTGTCATTATCGTATATTTCAGTATATTCTCTGCTTTCTCTTGTGATTTCATCTTCGTCCTGTGGATACTTTAGAGGTAATTTCCTTAATTTTCAAATATTAAGGAATTTTCCATTTTTGTCACGTGTGTCCTTTCACACAGTGAAAAGTTTCCCTTTTTTATCTCTGGTGTAATATTCCTTGTCTGGAAGTCTGGTCTGATATTAATACAGCAACGTTCATTTTCTAATGCAAACTTTATCTGTGCTTCATATTTAAAGTGAGTTTGTTATGAAAGCATATAGTTGTGTCATCTTTTTTTCTCAAATTCTGCCTGATATCCTTTGTCTTTTAATTGAGGAGTTTAGTCCATTTACATTTTTCTTGTGACTATTGATATAGTTGAGTTTAAGCATACCCTGCAGGTATTTATGTTCTTTTTGTTCTGTCTGTCCTTTTTTCCTCTGTACTTCCTTTCCTACTTTCTTTTAGGTGAACCATGCATTTTTAGTATTTAATTTTATTTCCTCTATTGATTTTTATTTTTAAGTTATTCCTTTTATGTGGGTGGTTGTGTGTTTTTGTTTTCTTTCTCTCCTTTTTTAAAGTTATCGTTTGAGAGCTATGTTATTCAATACATGTGGCTATTTAAATTTTAATAATTGAAATATGAGAAAATAAAAATATGTTCCTGACTATTATATGGAAAAAGGATTGAAAGGATTCAGGACTAGAAACAGTAAGGTAAGTTAGGACATTGTTTTAGAAACACTGGCAAATTTTGTACGGAATTAGTAACAGAGTTTAAGGGAAATGATAGGGTTGAGAGACACTGGGGAGACAATCAACACGAGTTCTAATAAATGCAATAGCAGATGGGGAAGGGAGAAAGCCAAGGGACTCTGAAGATTTCTAGCTTGGGCAAGCAAATCAATGATCATGCCATTAATTGAGATAAGGAATATAGGTGGGAAGTCAAATTTGGGGGAAAGTGAAGATTTTGGTTTTAGAGATCTTGAGAGTCAAATGTTCATAGATATTTCAAGACAGAGATTAGTAGTAGGCAGTTGGCTACATGGGTCAAGAATTTTGGAGAGCTATCTAGTACAGAAGAATTTCAGACTTTCAATTTAAATATTGGTGTAGTGGGTATATAATATCACCATGATAGTATTATAGAGTAACAATACAAAACTGGGTATCAACCACATTTAAAAGAAAAAGAGACTCTAGACAGAGCTTCTGGGTAGATGGGAAGAAAACTGGGAGTGAGTAGGTCATTGAATACAAGGGAGTAGAGAGTTATGAATGAATTGTTAAATAACAACAAAAGATTTTCTAAGCAGGTGTTATATAGATAATATTTATATTTGACAAATTGGGCTCAGATTCACTTTTCTAAGAAGGAGCAAAGTGCTTTGAAAATTATTCAGTGCTTTTATGTTTTAGACTCCATTCATTTATTGACTTTATCTTTTCATATTTATTTTATCCTGCTGTGCACTAGGCAGTCTCCTAGGGCTGGGAGATACACAGATGAATAAAAGTTACTTTGTGCCATACTCTTTCTGTCAAGTAAAGGCATGTAAACAAATAATTGGAATGCAGCTGTAAAGGTCAATAAGTAACAAGAGGTTTGCAGGAAGTGCTGCAGAAGGCTAAAAGAATGCTCAATTCTTCTGTGCCTTTCAGATACTAATCTTTTTGCCCTTTTCCTGCTTCTTCACCCACATGGCCTACAAACCCAAACATCATTCTGGAAACTTTGTTTGACTTCCTTGTTTGCTTTACTTAATACGTTAAGAAAAATGGTGACTCGTATAGGATAATGCATCTCCAAAACAGTCACTGAAAATAAAAATGGGGGAGGAAGGGATAAAAGGAATTCTTTACAAGAAATAGTAATTACTAAAAGATCCATCAAGGATAACCAAAAGTTACCAAAAACGTTGATGTTTTGGTGATTTTGGAAAGGCTATAAGTTTCTATATGTTTAACTTTTCTTTTTTTTTTTTTTGAGACAGAGTCTCTCTGTTGCCCAGGCTAGAGTGCCATGGCGGTCAGCCTAGCTCACAGCAACCACAAACTCCTGGGCTCAAGTGATCCTCCTGCCTCAGCCTCCCAAGTAGCTAGGACTACAGGCATGCGCCACCATACCTGGCTAGGGGGTGTGGGGGTGTGGGGGTGTGGCGGTGTGTGTGTGTGTGTGTGTGTGTGTGTGTGTGTTTTCCAGCTAATTTCTTCCTATTTTTTTAGTAGAGACGTGGTCTCAGTCTTGCTCAGGCTGCTCAAACTCCTAAGCTGAAATAATCCTCCTGCCTCAGCCTCCCAGAGTGTTAGGATTACAAGCGTGAGCCACCACACCAGGCCTATATGTTTAACTTTTCGATAGCTTCATATGACTCACTGTGAGAGATGAAGAAATTAGTACTTTCAACTTCTTTCCACTTTTCTTCCCCGCCCCAACTGTTCGCTGATTTTTCTGTTGGAATTACATTGTCACTCTAACATTTGTATACCTCCTGTTATCTAATTGATGTATTTGTTTATTCTCAGTTTAGTATTTAAATGGATTCAGTTCTTGCCATCATCTCTTATGTCACAGTTTCTGCAGAAGAATTCTTTATTTTTATTTATCTCTTGGTTGACTGGATTTCATCATCAAGTAGTTTTCTCAAGAAGGGCCCAGGTAGTCCCTGAAGTCTTCTGTACTGCCTGTCTCTCACCTTATATTAGTAATTAAATGATAACTTGGCTGGGCATAAATTTCGGTAGGTCATGCTTTCTTTCCCCTGACCTTGTTGGCATTTCTGTCTCCAGGAATTATGTTAAACCAGTTTCTTTTTCTTTATGACTGCTTTCTTTTTCCTTTTTGATTCAGAATTGAAGTTTTCAAAGAATCTACATGAGTTCCATACCTTTTCACTTCCTGAACTTCAGAGAATTATTACTAGAACAGCCACATGTATGATGCTGTGATGTTAACCAGGTTATTTCAGGAGTATTAATCATCTATCTTTACTTTTCGTTCTAGAGATAATTGATGACCTTGCCAACCTAGTGGAGAACACAGATGAAAAACTTCGCACTGAAACCAGGCGTGTGAACATAGTGGACAGGAAGTCCACCTCTTGTGGTAAGAGACAGCTGTCGTTGTGACTCTGCCTCTCTCATGGCTTGAGGATTGACTCTGCTTTGAGTTTCTGTTGTCTAATTACTACAGGGATTTGGCTGGTCTTATAATACAGGCAGTGCCATTTGATGAAGCTTTGAAATTGCTAAAAGCGACTTAAATCTTGTTAAAATGAAATTAATTGTGTGGAGTTCAGTGGGCATATCATCTGTTGTTATTTTTATTTTATTTATTTATTTATTTTGGTTTAAAAGAAGAAACCTTTCTATATGTTTACCTGGATTAATGGTTTGGAAAATTGTATAACATTATACAGGTTGGTGGGTTTTAAAGGCGATCTCACTTGCTTTGGTGCCTTTTTTGAAACCACAAACTTAATCGTTGACCCTTGAGCTGCAAAGCAGTTAAGAGCCCAGTTCTGAAGTCTACTGGGTTCAAATCCTATATTTGGTGATGTTATGCTTGTGAAGTCACTTTACCACTTGCTACCTTATATTTTAAATGGAGATTCACATGCCAAGATAAGAATCACTTGGAGTACTTGCTGAAAATACTGATTCCGAGGCCCTCTAGAGATTCTGGTTGAGTGGGTCTAAGGTAGAGTTCAAGTGGAGTTTGTTGGAGGTGGAGTTTGTTATTTATTGAGTATGCCAAGCAGTTCTGATACAGGTACTTTTTATTCTGCAGAATTCTGATGCAGGCTTTTGTGAAGTCTGAATTGTGTATTTCCTGTGCACAGTGCCTTGCCCAGATGTAAGCGATGATAAATGGTGGTAACAGCAGGAGTAATCACAGTGATTGTTATTTGGTGCTTCATCTCACAAAGGTGTACTAAATTTATAAAGCTAATATTTTTATTCAGTATAGAATTACAATAGCGATAAATAACTAGTGATCCGAGCATATGCTTTGCTTAACTTTTAGCCTTTTTAGTATGAAAATGCCATAGACACTCCTGATCTATCCAGTTTTAGAACCTCTTGCGAGGGTCCCCTGAGATGTGTAGCTTGAGACATGTTACCTTCCTTGCTTGTGTTTGTTGATTAAAAGAGAATCTAGAACAATAGGATGAGAGTAGTCTGGATAGATGTAGACTCTGGAAGCTCAGAAGAAGTGGAACCCTGCGGGGCCTACTCACTACCCTTTGACCCTTTATTGCCTCCATCCTGCCTCCCACCCGCCGTCCCAGCCCCAGCAGTCTCCCCCCACCCCCAATCAGTTGCCAACCCACAATGTGCTTCTCCTCAGTTTTGTTTTACCAGTCTTTCCATGTGACTTCTGTCAATAAGGGCTTTGTTCTCTACACTAGATCCTGAAACTTTGAAGACTAGAGATGTGAGTTCACGCCCCCCACCTCTCTTATTACACCTGAACCTTAGTTTCCGTGCTGTGAGAAAGTGGCTAACCCGGTTGTCAATATTGAGTTGAGTGGGCTCAGGAGCCTATACTCGTACCCAAGTTCCGCCACTCCACCAGCTGTCTGACTTCAGGAAAGTCCCAACTCACCTTTGCCTTGGTTTTTCCATCTTCGAAGTGGGAGTGATAATTGTATAGATCCGAGAGGATTGTTGTGAGGAGTAAATGAATGATGAATGAGAGATATGTATCACTTAGAACAGTGTCTGGTATGTTGCATGCAGTGAGCAAGTATTAGCTACTGTCGTTATATGTCCAAAGTAGGAAGAGTCTTCACAAATAAATGATAGCTTTCTTGAGGTCTTTTTTTAATATTCTAAGCAATCATGTTGCTAGTCATGCTATGTATGAATATATTCATATACATATGTTTTTGTATTTACAACATGGTGTCCCATATCATTCATAAAATCATAATGCAGAATGTTTCTTGTACTGTTGCCAATTTCTTTATAGTATCACCTATGTTTAATATTTATACCTAAAAATATCGATAACATCTTTTGAGCTAGACTTTTAAGTGTTGAATTTTTTTGAAAATAGAAGAAATTCAGAAATACCCAGAATTACTAAAATACATATTTTTAAAACTTGTATCTTAAAATAAGTTAACTATAAATTTATCTCATACTCCATTTATATTTTTTTCCAAAGACAAGCAGCTTTATTTTATTTTATTTTTTTGTATTTGAGGTTTTTTTCCAAATGTTATGGGGTACAAATGCTTTTGGTCCATTTATATTTAATTACACGATATATTTATTATCTGTGAAATAATTTTATACAATGATTCAAAAGGGGAAGTACAGTAAGCAGTATAGCAGTGTTAAATAGATACTGGAAAAAGAAGTCTTTATTCTTTTATGGAAATGTTTTAGAGAGAATTGTTTCTCTTGTCCCTTCAATTTTTTTCTACTATTTATTTAACAGTTCCATCAATATTATAGATCAATAACCAAATAACTATACTTTTATAATTTCTAATGTCCAGTACCTTTAAAGGAAAATTTTTTACGTTTTTATTTTTTAAACGGAAATTTGCAATTATATATGCATTTGTTGACATACAGTGCTAGGTTTTGCATACTGAGGAAGGTTCAGCATGTGGTCTCTAAAGCTATAGAGAGGTCAGACTTTATTTAAGACACTCAGTGATTTTTTTCTAAGTCTTTAACTGATAAAAATTAAGCCTATGGGCCAGGCATAGTTTCTCATGCCTGTAATCCTAGCTCTTTGGGAGGCCAAAGCTGGAGGATTGCTTGAGGTCAACCTAAGGAACAGACCCCATCTCTATAAAAAGTAGAAAAATTAGCTGGGTGTAGTGGCACACGTCTATAGTCCCAGCTATTAAGGAGGCTGAGGCAGAAGGATCATTTGAGCCCTGGAGTTTGAGGTTGCAGTGAGCTGTGGTCATGCCACTGTATGCCCAGGTGACAGAACGAGACCCTATCTCAACAACAACAACAAAAAATTAAGCCTATCAACACAAGGCATATTGTGGAATTTACTGAGTGGGTTTGGCAGCTTTTGGCAAAATTAGCCTGACTTTTAAAAAATTTATATTATGGTAAAATATATATAACATAAAGTTTACCATTTTAACTATTTAAAAATGTGCAGTTCAGTGGCATTAAGTACATTTTCATTGTTGTGCAATCATTACCACTGTCTATCTCCACAACTTTTGTTTTTTTGTTTTTTTTTTTGAGACAAAGTCTTCACTCTGTTTCCCGGGCTAGAGTGCTTGGCTCACAGCAACCTCAAACTTCTGGGCTTAAGTGATCCATCTGCCTCAGCCTCCCGAGTAGCTGAGACTACAGGCACGCGCCACCATGCCCGGCTATTTTTTTTCTCTCTCTCTATATATATACACACTTCATTTTGTATATCCATTTCTGTCAGTGGACATGAGTTGTTTCCTCCTGTTGGCTATTGTGAGTAATGCCACCATAAACATTGGGATACAAACATCTGTTTAAGTCCTGCCTTTTTTGTGTATATAATCAGAAGTGGAATTGCTACATAATATGGGAATTCAATGTTTGAGTTTTTAGGGAACCACCATACTAGCTTGACATTTTGGTTTTTTGCCTCTAAACCAGGGATCCTCAAACTTTTAAAACAGGGGGCCAGTTCACTGTCCCTCAGACCATTGGAGAGTGGGCTGTAGTTTGAGGATGCCTGCTCTAAACTCTTAGGTACTTCCAAGTATTTTCTTTTTTTTTGAGACAGTCTCTCTTTGTTGCCCAGGCTAGAGTGAGTGCCATGGCGTTAGCCTAGCTCACAGCAACCTCAGACTCCTGGGCTCAAGCAATCCTCCTGCCTCAGCCTCCCGAGTAGCTGGGACTACAGGCATGCGCCACCATGCCTGGCTAATTTTTCTATTTATATTAGTGGCCAATTAATTTCTTTCTATTATATGAGACAGGTCTCGCTCTTGCTCAGGCTGGTTTCGAACTCCTGACCTCGAGTAATCCGCCTGTCTCGGCCTCCCAGAGTGCTAGGATTACAGGCGTGAGCCACCGCACCCGGCCCCAAGTATTTTCTTTTTAAAAAATTTTAAAAGCCTATTTGCAGGCAGAAGTTGGGAACTTCTGTGGCTTGAGAGGGGCAGGCAAGTGGGATGGAAGTGAAGGTCCTGGACCTTCCCAATTAGAAAGTGTAATGAGAGACCCTTCTGACATTAAACTGGGACTTCAAAGAGCTACATGCACCCTCAGGGTAAAAGTGACCCAGAACTGAATTTGCCTTTGGGGAGTGTGGCAGCCTTGGCACTGAGCAGAATAGGAGAAGAACAAGAAAGGGAAAAAAATACATAGTTTCTGGAAAGTTGTAGTCACAGAAAGGCCCTTGTGTGAATTTGCACCCTGGGAATACATCTTCAGGGTGAGCCAACGAACACCAAGCCTTGAATTTGGTTTGAAGCAGATTCACCTGTTATAGTTCCATGTGCCTGGCAAAAACAAATGGAATGTATTTCTGGAGGAAAATGTATCTATCCCAGGTCTCCAGGAATCAACCAAAACTAAATTTCTAAGGACAATGACCAGCACACAGTCAAAGATAACCTAACATACATGGAAACAGCACAACATGAGCAAGGAACAACAGTAGACTGTGGAGACCAATCTGCACAAACTTGCAGTATTAGAATTCTCAGACATAGATCATAAAATCAATTATCCTTTTTAAGTAAATGTGACAAACTTGAAAGCCTCTTGAGAGAAGAGGAAACTATTAAAAAAAAAACACACACACACACACAGAAAACTCGATAAGGGACCAAATAGAACTTCTAGAAATAACAAATAACTGAAATTCAAAACTCAATGGCTGTATTTGGTACTAGCAGAAGAGACAATCAACCAGAGGACAAAGCAGAAAAAAGTAAACTATATTCCCTTTCCATAAATGCTGGCATTTTGAAGAGGCTATCCAAATGCCATGAAAGTTAAATTACAATCTTAATAAGAAAGGCATTAGAGGGGCGGAGAGTTAGTCCAAGAGCCTTGAGTCATAGCAACGAGTTAATCACCTGCCCTCCTCAAGTGCAAGGCTGAATTGATCATTTTGTGTGTAAACACATA